GCTTTACAACATAAGTCTCTCGCTCTTGGATTTCGGAAGCCTTTGGTCGTATGACTGTGGTTAGCCCTTTGTATAAAGCGGCATGCTTTTTTCCACTGCATGCTTCTTCTTTCGTAGCTTTTCAAAAGTTCCTCCATTTTTAGATCTATACAGTAGCCTGCCGAATATTTGCAGACAAGGCAGAATCAAAGCCTGATTTGACTCTCGGTGGTAGATGAGTCCGAGTCATACTTAGTCAGTGTTATTTGATGGTTCGCTTGCACAATTACGTTCTGCCAATCTCCATACTGGACGCTATATGCCGCACCGTGGCATAAACCTTGGTGGCTGACGTATTCTGCTAATACAGCATAACGACTATGACTTTGTCGAGTGGTTAAGCCTTGAAAAATAATGTCGGACTGAACTCTGAAGGTGTCAAAGCGGTGCGTCTTTTCACATGCGCTTTTTCCAACAGACTGAATGTAATTCGCTTGACCGTGCTGTACTTCAGATGCGTGTGAGTGCATGCCACAGTATGTGATTCCTCAAATGACCACGACCTTGCACTGCAGCACTTCCACTGGGCAGGAGTCTACCAGTTGTACCAGTTTTACTGTCGCTGTCGTGAAAATTGGTTTTGATGCATTTGTCTCACAGGTTCCCATAGACGGTGCATCAATGATTGTGACATTTACATTTCGGTGTGAGCAGTCGTACGCAATTGAAGCTTGTGTACCTACAAACGTGAGCAACGGAAGTAAAAAGGGGCATTTCCAGCTAGACTTCAATGTAGTTGATGCTGTAATCTCGTTTCGCTCCCTTACGGTTGTCCCCGTCGTCATGGTCAAGTGCCCTTCTTCTTCTGGAGCCTCTTCTTCACAGTTTCTGTCAGCTTTCATGATAATCTCTTTTGTCAATCCTTTGAAAACGCTAGTGTTGTTGTCCTCCATTGCCAGGTGGGTTTTGAGAGGATAGAGTTGGGTTATTAACCGTCTCACAAATTTTAGAAATTCTCCTACCTGGTTCATTGGTAGCCTCACTTTGGCGTCGGTGATTCCTCTTCTGTTGTTCGTTATCAGTTCGGTAATACGTCTCAACTTCCACTTCGTTTGAGGTGTTGTTTCTTCTTTGATAAGAACCACTTCTCCAGTTCTGGGTTTTCTTGTGGTCAAATTTTTCCCCTGGTGCTGTTTTTCGTCTCCTTTTCCTCTCAACATCTGAAGCTATCTTCTTGTCCATTCGCGCTGAAATCTGTTTATGCTTTCTTCTATCTTTCTGTAGAAAGCTTGTAGCTCCCTTCTTCCACCAAAAAATTTGGGGAACCCGTGAACTGACTCTGTAAGTAAGCTGTCTTCTCTTGGAGACATGATTACCTTTGGATTAATAAAGTCAATTGGTCGGAGAATATCCATGGTATCATCATCCACTGGTGTGATAGGTCTTGTATTTAGAATGCTCTCTATTCTAATCACAGTGTTTGCGAATTCGTTTACCTTCAGTAGACGTTTTCCAATAGATTTCTTCATGACTGCTTTCATCAATCCAATCATTCTCTCGTATACGCCGCCCTTCTATGAGGCTCTCGGGGTGATAAAATGCTAGGTTACTGGTATTCGTTTAGAAGCCGCAACAAAGTGCGCTTTGTTATCCAAAAATATTGCTTATGGCTTATCTCTGCGAGCAGTAAACGGATTATAAGCCTCAAGAAATGCACTCAGTAAAAGATTGTCTACTGTTTCTAAATGATCTGCGCTCGTAGTTAGGCAGGTGACTAAGCATATCCATTGTTTCTCGGTCTCTTTACCTCGTGTTCGTACTTTAAAAGGACTTGCACAGTCTACCCCAATTCTTTGAAATGGTCTAGCAGTTACTAACCGCTCGAGTGGTGGCTGAGCCATGTTGGGAAGCCGAAATGGTTTTGAAGCGAATTTGCGGCAGTGATAACATCCTTCCCTCAAGGCCCTTTTGGTTATAAGTCGTCCCTTTTCGGTTCAGAACCGTCCTTTGAATCGACAAAGAGTGTGCGCCACTCCGGAGTGCCCACTTTCCTTATGAGCCTCGATGATAAGCATCTGCGTGAAAGGATGTTTGTTTGGCAGAAATACTGGGGCATCCTGCCGTACCAGTTTGCTGAGACGTCCCATCACCTTCCATAAGCCAAACTTGTCCTTTTCAAGATTCCATCGTTAAATCTCGTTTTCCGTTATCTAGAGCTCTACTTCTTTTAAGAAGATTGTTTCTGCTCGTTTTTGAAGAGGAACATCTTCAGTCACTGTTGCAAGGTGTCTTCCAGTTTTCCTTTTAATGGCGTCTAGGAACTTTAACACTGAGCAAGCGCACCTGGCCATCTTTGAACACTTCTTTCTTCTGCTCGCTGAAGAGAAGGGTTCAGATTCGTAACCTTTTATTGCTGGAGTGACTACAGCTTTGGCCTCCTCTGCCTCCGTCCTTTCATTGGGTACTTCGCGTAAAGGCCATTTAGATTCGTCTTGGCTGAGCCAAGGTGGTCCGTTCCACCACGCAGTTGAGTGCACGATGTCTTCTGAGCTCACACCTCTGGTAGCGATGCCTGCTGGGTTCTGCTCAGTTGGTTTGTATCGAAAACTCAGGTTACCTTTTCAAACTTCTCCCACTTTGTTTCTTTCAAATCGTAGACGTTTATCGCCATTTTTGATTGCCAACCATGCTAGCACACATTTCGAGTCTGACCAAGCGTAACGAGTATACTTCTCAAGCTTCAATTCTTGCGTTACAAAATCTAATGCTCGCTTCCCAATTATTGTTGCCATTAATTCTGCTCTTGGAATCATTAGTTTCTTTACAGGCATTATGCGTGTTTTGCAGAAGATTATGTTAGTTTTTTTTCCGGTTTTCGCATAGATGATTGCGCCATAACTGAATTGGGAAGCGCCAACAGAAAGATGAAGTTGCATTGATGACTGCCGACTCCTCAGCGCTTGACGTGGAACCGTCATTCATCTGTTTCTCCAATTTTTCTGCAGTACCTCTAAATTGTTCTTCAGATTTGATGGAATTTTGTCACCCCATTGAACGTTGTCGATCCATAGCTCTTGAAAGAATACCTTCCAAGGAAGGAATATTGGGAGTACTAAACTCAACAGATTGAAATGATTGGCAATAAAATGTGCCAGTCCTCGCTTTTTGCTACCCTCAAACGCTTTCAGCTGGATACTTAGAGTGTAATTTTTTTTGTTTTTCCAGACAAGCCCCATAAGTGACTGTTCCACTTCAGCCTCTTGATCCGATTTTGGCATTTTACTCATGACCTCTGGACCGTTTAAAGAGAAGCTTCTGAGGTTCATAAATGCAGCCTTGAATATGCGCTTAGCCTCTTCGTATAGTAGGGGGCTTAGCAATATCTTTCACGCACAAGAACCGTGTAACATCTCGATCCTCTGGATTAAGAGCGATCTGGCGAAAAGCCTTTTCTATATCTCCCACAATACTAATCATTGAACTTCGTGCTGTTCGCAAAATTTCGCAGAGCTGTGATAGGATCACTGGGCCTTGGTAGAACGCTTCGTTTAGTTTTGTTCCTACCGTCGACTTCGCACTGGCGTCAAACACAACCCAAAGTTTGGTTGTTTGTTTCTTCAGCGTGGGAACTGCTTGGTGAGGCAGATACTGGACCATCATTCCATCGATTTTCCCAGCAACCTCGATAATCCCTCGTTCGCTCTGATTTTTAAAGACTTTGTCGTATTCCTTCAGAAGATCAGTATTTTCGCGCACACGTCTGATCAGCGATTTCAGACGGCCTAGACACAAGCCAAAGTTATCTGAGAGATTAGGGATCTGTGTTCGCCATGGCCATTTGACACTGTAACGGCGCTCTTCGTCTCTGTCTAAGGTCCTTCTGAAGTACCCTATCGCTTCTTGGTCCTCAGTTTTGTTTTCGATGCCTGTTATTCCAATTGAGTCTAGCTCGCAGAAATGACTGACGTTAAAATTTGTTAACTCTGCGTCATAACTCCGCGACTTTTACCCCCCACAATTGCGGATTGACCTGCTAATAAAAAACCTATTATCAATGAGGTACATGTCAAAGTCCAACTTTGTTGCACATTTCACGAAATCGAAATAATAATCAACTCCGATTAGTATTTCTGGCGCCTTCCAGGTCGTCGTCAATTTTTACAAGTTTCGCTTTGTCATCGCACCCACAGCGTGGAGTTTTACAACTTTCGATTCACCGTTCTCCAGTGTCAAAATCCCTTCAGTTTTTCGTAGTACGGCATCCTTCTTGACATTGTTGCTTCGAAGGTGGACATCAACAGCTCTTTCCGTTTTGATACGATGAGGCCAAGTCGCCTGGCCAAATCTCGGTCGATATGTAAATGTTGACTTCCACTGTCAAAGAAGATCAGTACTTTCGCTTTATGTTGTGGATGCTGAGGGTTGTAAATTTCTACTTCTCCACACATCAGTAGAACTTTGGATTCACTGGGGGACTTGACACTTGCGATCGTCGCCAGTTGAGTTGGAGAAGCGTCGACTGCATTTGTTTTTAGCTGACCATCCGATGCGGCGCTTGGGGGGTGCTGTTGACGAGCTTTACTTTCCTAGATTTTATTTGTCGGAAATAAGGAGCTAGGATAGTATTTCTTACAGTAGAAACATGGCTTAATTCTGGCCCGGCATGATTTTGAGACGTGGCCCGATCGTAAGCACTTGCAACAAAGTTTCAGGTATTTTACTCTGTCGATTCGTTCATTTGTAGTTTTGTACTGATCGCACTGGTCATGGTAGTGGTTTCCTTTGCAAAAGGCACAACTCTTTAATAACTTAGGATTGTCTTGATCCTTATGGAAGTGGACAGCCATTGTCAATGACGGCGTTTCTGGCTGAGCAACTGGTGATTTTTTGATTTCTCTATTTGTTTGCAGTGGCGCTGACATGGTTTGATGTTGCAGTTTGACTCTGGCAAGGGTATTCAGTAATGCTCGTAGTTTAGTGACATTCCACTGAGGGTCTGCTAGCTCAGCTAAATAAACCTTTTCCCTTGTTGAGTATGGAAGCTTTTCCTCCAAAAAATTTTTAATAAGCAAATGGTTCAGCGTTTCTCCCAACGCTTCTAGCTGTCAGATTATGCATTCCATTTGTTGCCAAGCTCGAGAGGTGTTGCACAAGTGCAACAGTCCCTATCATGAGAAGCAGGGCGTAAGAGCTGCATCTGTCAGTCAGGTGCAGTTTAAACCGAAGCGTTTGGGCTGTACAATGCGCAGGCGCCGGCCACTCGGGTGAGATTTGATCAATCCCCGAAAGGAGTAGGTTCGGCAGAATACTGTACGAGTCCGACGAATATCAGTCAGTTACAGGCGCCAAAGCACCTGCATACAAGAAGGTGCAAAGCATGCTCAAGGAGGGTCTAAAAAGCATTTTCTGAGTTTTACGCTCTTTGGTGAAATTTGCTGCTACTTGATTGGTTCGGTGCTATTTGACTTTTTAGCAATTTGTAACTTCTGTAATTTTCTGCAAATCCTTCTGAGCGCTTAAGGTAAGCAAATTTTGTTAATTTTGGTTTCCTTTCGTATTATACCGTTGTTCCTTTGTTGTTTTCTATGGTATTCTCTTTCCCTTTTATCCTGTGCCAATTCCAACGTTTAGTTACTTGTCTCCCTTGTATCTCTTGCCTCCTGTTTCATTGTAAATTACCGTCTAAATCAAGCCTGGGAAGTTTCTTCCTTTAATAAAATCTTAGTAAGCAAGGACTCCTCACATTTAAGATATTGCAAAAAAGGGTCTTTCAGACCACGTCAGTAGCAAAGAGAGAGATTTTAGTTGCAATTGGGGAATTGAGTCTTTTGTGCGATAGGCTGGAAAAAACGCAACTCTAGCTGCAATTCTGCCCTTAAGCAGCGATCATCGGCACAGACCTCTTTGACTTTTTGGACCAAAACAGAATAATTCTCCGGCCGTGAGACATTATCCAGTATGAAGGCCTTTGCCTCTTTTGTCAGCAGCTCCATCAAATAGTTGAATTTGAGCACCGTGGGAATTCTCCTATTGAGATGGACCATTTGTTCATAGGTGTTCCAAAATGTCGGCCAGTCTCTAAGACGCCTCGTGAATTTCAGTATTTTGAATTGAGGTAACTGCGCTCTTGGAAATACGATGACGGATTGCTCTGAGTCAAAGGGAGCAGCAACTTGATCGTTTCCTTGTTTATCGTTAGCGCGGTCTGATGACGTCGTGGCTTGCTGAAAGGAAGGTTTGGTAGAAGTAACATTTTGCAACTGCAGTGCGGCGTCTTTGTTTTGTGCACGTAGTGATACTGAATCAAGCACAGCTTGCGCCGATTTAGCGCACTGTATGTCAATGAGTGCTTCGCTTCCGGCGTCTAGGTCAGTGAGCAACGATGGCTGCATAGCGCTCATCTGTGTGTACGCCGCTTCTTCTTCATGCTTTTTTCCGTCTTTGGCGCTGATGATGATTTTCAGCCAAGATTTGTTGGCTGTAATAGGTTGGTCAAGGGCGTTCAAAACTTGCATTTCATAGCGCTCCAGAACCACTGAACAAGTTCGAAATTTGTCAGCATTCTTGGCCGGTTCATTAAAAGTAGGCTTCGGTGCTGACAGGTTTTGGAACTCTTTGATTAATTTGCGGATCCGTTTTTGCGTGGGAGCACTCAAAAGAATAACTTCTTTGCTCCTTTTCGTATTGAGTTACCAATCAGTCCCGGCTCGTGGCACCATGTAACAGAAAAATAGAAGGGATAACTTTCCTATATTTTTGCTAATAAATTGTATTGTCGTAACAAACGTCAAATGTGTGAGAGCGTGAGTATACCTCAAACTTGGGTAATTAAACCTTTATTACAAAGAAGCGGTATAATATTTTAACGTACTTATAAGTTATAATACAAAGTAACAAGTATAATAACATCAACAATCGATAGTAGAAATAAGAAAATGAAGGAAATTGAAATAAATAAAGCTACAGAAGAGGAAGTTAGCCAGCCGGCAATCACCACAACACATCGCTTATACAATGGCTTCTTTTCCTGTCGATCTGATTGATCTGATCGGTTTCGGTTATCATGCACGTTTTAGCTGCTTCGCTGGGGCCAGTCGCTGATTGCTCCGCATGAACTTAGTCCTTCTAGCATTCGCGTTGGTCGCGACAGTCTAAATGCAGCAGTATCAGAACCAATTTCTGTAGGCTGAATCGGATAAGCAACGTTGATACACTAAACATTGTCTCAGTTTTGGCTGGGTTTTTTTTTGATTTATCAAAAGTTTTTTACATTTTTTTTGCGTTAAAGTTTTTTATAGAATCAGAAAAACCTTTTTTTTCAGTTGTTTATATAAATGTTAGAAAAAAGCGATTATGCTTAGATGTTTGTATATATTTGATGTAACTGCATTTGAATGTCAAGGAAGGAGGAGGAAAAAAGACAGAAAAAAACTCTTTTTTAATGTGTTGATATGGTTAACTGCTGATAGGAATTAGAAAACAAAAAAAAAAAAAAAAAACGACGGAAGAAACCTGAACATTTTGATTTTTTAAAAAAAAAAAAAAAAAAAAAAAAAAA